GTCCCCGAGTACTTTATATAGTAGGCTGCCCCAGTCATTGTTTCATTCACGGTGTTGGTGTTGAGATATTGTGCCCAACTGCTTTCTGGGTAACACAGACCAACCGACACGCTGCCGCCGCAGTCTGTCACCCCCGGCGGAAAATGTATAGGGGCTGGTCCCTTGGTAACCCTAGTCGAAGTCTAAAGCCATTTTGTTGACATAAAGAATGTCAACAAAACAGTCCGACTCCGGTCGGCGAGGAGAGCCTTCCGCGACTGGGCCAGGGTGTGGCCGGACGATTGTCACCCCTCTCCCATCGTGCACAGCATGTTCATGAAGAACATGCTGTGCGCATATTCTCAACAACCTGCAGGTCATCTGCAGGTCAAATGACCTGCAGACGACCTGATTATCAGGTCGATAGGTAGATGGGTCAGTCAAACTTTATTAACAAACCAGCGTTCTGACAACTATCCCAGCATGCACCACGCGCGTCTTCTTCTATGGGCGAAAATGAAGTCGGCGGCTGCTTACTGTAGTTGCTAGACCTGATGTGGCTCAATATTGGTCCATATATAAGGCGCACTGGATTACAAGGTGCACTGTCGGCTTTTGAGGAAATTGAAGGTTTTTAGGTGTGCCTTATAGTGTGGAAAATACGGTACATGATTTAGGAGGAAATATTACACTGCCAGTACTTTCATCATGATAAACAAAACAAAAATATAAAAACATCTTGTTTGCAAATAACCAGAGATGACCATCATGTGACCCTGATCTGACAATGGGACCAAACTGTGCAGGGTTAAAGCTTAAATAGCACAGTATCAAGGCATAACATCCAACCAAAGTTACACCAGTCTTTCTTGGGGTACTGGACATTTAAACATGGGAGTAATGGTTTCAAATATTTCTTTACAGTTTGTTTTGGTTGATCTTAAACATTTTGGATTTGCAAAATAGGCAAATTAATTCCAGTTTATTTAACTGGGAAGACTGGCTTTTTAATATGATGGGAATAGAGAAAATAGTTTTTGCTACTTAAGTCTTTGATATATTTCTATGGTTTGTGAATGTCTATTGAATCTATAATATCCAGATATGTAATTTGTGTGAACTTTGCTCACTTAAATATGATAAAAGCAAGTGAATTTGTCCTGTCTGTAGTTTGTAACAAACGAAAAAAAAAAAAAAAAAAAGATTCAGTGCTTGAATGAATGTATTAGGTCTGTGGATTGTGACTTTTTTAAGTTTAGGATAAAATTCACAGGTCTTACATGTATGTTACAGGCCAGCTGATTTAGATGACAGTTTGACTGGTTAAAGGCGATCTTGTTAATTGATAATACAGTTTTTTTCTGGTTTTTGATGTGTTTTTTTTTTCTCTGTGGTTCTAAATTAAAGAGACTGATTACCTAAGTGAGTTTTGCTGACTTGTCTTATTAAAGTGAGCTTATGTAAAGCAAGCCTTTGTCAATTTAAATAAAAAATTCTTCCAAGGAACAACATTTTATAGAATTTATGAAAGTTTTCTTCAATTGATTCTTTGTAAGACTACCATAAGGCCTGACGACACA